TACCACCTCTATTTGTAATAAATAATAGATACCAAAGTATTTATAATAAATAAGATGGGGCTTTTTATTTTATAATTAGTCATAAAAGAAGAAATACATTTTTATGTTGTACGGAGTTTATCCCCTTAGGCAGACATTTCTTCAAATGCAAACTGCATTTCTTTGGGGAAAACAAACTACACAGAGGAAATACTCTTTTTTGAGAAAAATTGCATTACCATCCAAGATATTGCTAAAACTACAGAGCTCTGCAAATAGCCACTGCTGGTCCTAAAGATTTGGTTATATTGTAAATTCCTAATTTTACACCATGTAATTATTATGTTAGGAGAGGGGGTTTCTGGTTTTGTTTTGTTGATTTGTGTGTGTGTGTGTGTGTGTGTTACTGGGGTTTGCACCCAGGGCTTTTACAATGAACTTCACCCTTTCTTTAAAATTTTTATTTTGATACAGGGTCTCCCTAAGCCGCTCACTTGTACTCCTTCTCCCTCAGCCTCCCAGAGTGGGAATTATAGGCGCATACCACCACACCTAGCTAGGGACTGTATCATTTTCTTAAGTGAAAAGTGGCGACAACTTTGTGACCATTCAGATCAATACTCTGACGTTCAGGAAGGTGACTCTCCCTGAAGACGCTCCCTATCCTCTTCCCAAAGCTTTACCTGAGTCCACTTCAGCATATTTTGCCTCTGAACCTGCTTGAACCAGTGTTTATACAAACTCATGAAAGAATGAGCTTGTGCTATATCAAGTTCCTACTGAACTGTAAATAAATGCAGGGTAATTTATCCGAAGCAATGAGACTTTTATAAAAGATACGATTTGAAAAATTTAGAAAAGCAAATTTCTCTCTGCTTTCTCTTTAAATTTTTCATTCCTCTTGACTATAAATATTTGGGTTTCTAAAGAAATTAACTTCAATATTGTTTTATCTTCTAACAGTCTTAGTAGGAAAAATAAAAACTAATTGAAAGTAAAATTGAGATGTTGTACTTTAAAATAAAGATTGAAAATACATATGCAGTCTAAATATCTTCTCATGTAGCTCTATCTGTGGTAGAGATGGTAAAAAGGACTCATTTAGATTAGACTAAAAACATTATTTATGACAAATAAGAGAAAGCAGCTACTAATCTCATTTCTCACTTGAATAGAATATTCTGCTAGTCTATGGCAATTCCATCTTTTTCAATCTATTTTTTCACTTTAAAAATACTCTAAAGCAGATAGATGTCTAAGAGAAGCCCTCATCTGCATCATTTATCACCTTAACTGGCTTTGTGGATCAGTAGGCTGAGTGCTTTAATTGGGATAAATGGAGCAAGTAAAAGACCAATGAACCAGTGGGGAGTTTTCATGTATGCATCAAGAGAAGCTCCTGGGTAGTTTAAAAGTGAGCCGGTAGTCAAGAGCTGTTTTAAAAGTTGTCCTTTGTGTTCTTTAAGCGATTGGTATAATCTGTTAAAATACACAGAATTCAGTTCCTAAGACTTTGGTCCCAAATCTATTATAACTGAGATGGTTCAACATATCATCCCGGTGTGGTACCCTCTTTAGAACTCTAACTGTTAAGATAACACCAAACTGGGAAACAAGACATTTCAGTCTTTGAGCTAAACAGGCAGTTGGCCTCAGGCAAGCAAGTTTACTTCCCTCTGGGTGTCCTAGTTTCCTCCCTGGACAGACAAGTTAGTTGTATAAATAACAAAGGCCCAATTAGATATGACTGGAAATACAGAGGAGAAAGACAATTATAAAATATTTTAAAGTTTAAAGTATGATGCACAAATTCAAAATATTAAAATTTCTCATAAACCATAACAATTATAAAATTATACATATAGAACCATATACCACAGTTTTAAATAAGTCACATACCTCCATCAATATCTGTTGCCAGACTTGTGGTATTGTAGAGGCATACTATTTGTTGAGTGTTCCTAAAAATTGTTTTCCTGCATAATCTTTGCTTTGAAAATAGAACAGTCAAGCTTAGTTGATGAACTTTGTAAGAGAAATTAAAATAGCATGTTCTTTTAAAGACAAGTGAAAAAAATAGTAACCACCCTACCTTTTAAAAATGATTATTTAAT